TATTTCTGTGCACATCTGATTATTATCTTAGCATGAAATCCTAGAAATAGAGATACTATTATGTTAAAGAATATGAGCATTTAGGACTCTTGATAGTAATTTCAAATGACTTTCTGGGATGTCCAGCCAATTTATACTTCCCATAGAAGACTATAAAAGATGGGGCCGGCCGAGTAGCTTTACAGTTAAGTTCGTGCACTCTGCTTCAGCTGGTTTGGATCCTGGGCGTGGACCTACGTACTGCTCATCAAGTCATGCTGAGGAGGTGTTCCACATTGAGCAACTAGAAGGATGTACAACTATGACATACAACTATCTACTGGGGCTTTGGGGAAAAAAAGGAAAAAAGGAGGAAGATTGGCAACAGATGTTAGCTCAGGGCCAATCTTCCTCAAAAAAAAAAAAAAAGAAAGAAAAGAAAACTATAAAAGAGCCAGTCTCACCACAAGCTCACCAGCATGAAATAGTAACATTAAAAAATTCTTTCTTTTTTTTTTTTGTGAGGAAGATCAGCTCTGAGCTAACATCCATGCCAATCCTCCTCTTTTTGCTGAGGAATACTAGCCCTGAGCTAACATCCAGTCGATCTTCCTCCACTTTATGTGGGACGCTGCCACAGCATGGCCTGATAAGTGGTGCATCAGTGCACACCCGGGATCAAAACCCGGGCCACCAGCATCGGAGTGCACGCACTTAACCACTATGCCACAGGGCCGGCCCCCCAAAATTATTTCTTTAATATGGAAATATATTATTCTAATACATTTATAATTTTTATGTATTTATTTTTTTTGCTGAGGAAGATTCGCTCTGAGCTAACATCTGTTGCCAATCTTCCTCTTTTTTTTTTTTCCTCCCCAAAGCCCCAGTCCATGGTTGTATATTCTAGTTTAAGTCGTTCTAGTTCTTCTATGTGAGCTGCCACCACAGCATGGCAACTGACAGGCAGGCGGTGTGGTTGCAAGACTGGGAACTGAAACCGGGCCACCAAAGCAGCAAGAACGCCCAACTTGAACCACTAGACCATCAGGGCTGGCTCTATAATTTTTAAATAATTACATTTCTTTTCCTATGAATTGTCTTTTGAGGTTCTTCGCTCATTTGTTTCACGGGGTGTTGTGTGTTTTTTTTCTTTTTATTGATAGGTAGGAGTTCTATATAATGAAAGGGTATTAATCTCCTGTCATCTTTATTGTTAATGTTTTTTGTAGCTGGTTATTTGCCTTTTAATTTTGTTAATGTATTTTTTTATATAGAAAATATAATTTACATGTAGTTTAGTTTGTTAAATTTGTCTTTGGTGATTTTTTTCCTTTGCTTTTATTGTTAGAAAGCCCTTCTCCATCCTGAAATCTGCTGGTGGGTAAGGATGTAACTCGACTCCCTCCCCACCCCCCCGAATAATGAGCCAATTTTCCTAACACTGTTTATTGAATTGTTCCTTCCCTAGTTTGGGATGCTTTCTTTATCTTATACCAAGTTATTTAATACCTGAGCCTATTTAAGAGCTGTTAACTCTATTTTAAAATAGTGTGGTAGTTCTGAGCAGAATTTCAATTCTCTAATTCTATTTACCGGCTATACAAGCCCAGGCGAGAGTCTCTCTGAGCCTCAACTCACTCATCTATAAAAAAGAAAATGAAACCTACTAGAGTTATTTTGAGGATTAAATGAAATAATATTTTTAATAAGTTTATCATATAGTAAGCACTCAATAAATGACAGTTATTATCATTAATAATATTCCAATAATATTTTGATAATTCTATTATTCCATTGAGATATTATTCTACTTCAGCTGTGCAAGTGGGTTTAAATAAATCATTGTAAGAATGTGTGACAATGTAAGAGAGCTATTTCCATGTCCCTGAAGAAGGTTTGCTTATATTATCATAATTCATTATTGTGATCAAAGAAATCTATTCAATGGTAAATTCTTCAACATAGTTAGCTATACTAGGTCTACCTATGTAGAAATCAGTTGTCACAACAAAACATACTTATTTTATTTATTAGTGTTAATAAACTGTGTTTGAATACAATGTCAGATTTCCTTGAAGTTTGATGACAAGTTGATGATAACATCACTTTGGTATTTTCCTGTTGCTGTGGGAGAATAGAATGATTAGCAAAGTCAGCGATCAGGAGAGGGGAGAGATAAATACGGGTTTTGTTCTGAGACTGTAAACAAGATCTATGAAGAAATATATATCTGAAGTTTCTAGATAAAAATTCCTATCTACCCCCCGTATACTGAAATTTAGTTAAAATAAATTCGACTCATTCGGTTCTTTATCATGATGATATTCTATTCTGTCATATTCAAAGATGATACTATTGTACTGATAAGAGGATTACAACTAAGCAAAAAACAAATAATAAAGTCTTAAGCACAGATTAAAATAACAATAAGATATATTTTTGGTTGATTCAAATTGGCAAATAATTTACCAAATTGAAAATACCCAGTGTTGGTGAGGCTGCAGGTAACAAAGTTTTAAATAAGAACTCTTTACTCAGTAAATCAACTTCTATAATTTTTTTCCTAAGTATATAAATGGACAAAAGTATAAAGACACATGTACACAAATGTTTATTATAATGTTGTTTATGAAAGCAGAGTGTTGAGAAACAAAAATTCCAAATGTGCATCAGTAGGAAACTGGTTTCAGAAATCATGGCACCTATGCGAGAATATTCTGTAAACATAGCGTCTCTCTATATTTGTTAACATGGGGAAATAGTCATATTGTTGAATTAAAAATGTTCCAAAACAGCAATATATAGTACTGAGCAGTGAAACTGGGGAGAGAGAGACATTGAGAGAGAGTTTGAGAGAGAGAGAGACAAAGAGAAAGAGAGAGAGAGATCTGGAAGGATGTCCCTTAAAACGTTAATAGCAGATATGCTGGGGTGTGAGATTTCAGGTGATTTATATTTTCTCCTTTATACTTATGTGTATTGCTTTAATTTTTGCAATAAAATTTTATCGTTATTTGGAAAAACAAAATGCAACAAAAACACTATGTGAAAAATAAAAGACTAAAGGAAATACCCACATGTTAACTGTAATTATCTTTGGTCTTGAAGAGGAGAGACCCAGTGTTCCTTTCTACTTTCCTCCATTTTCCAAATTGTCTTTTATTGAGTCTGATTGCGTTTAAAATAAGGAAATACTCATATATGGTGACAGTGATTATAATCTGGCAGACCCACCTGAGGCCCACAAGCTTTCCTCCTGGTCCCCTGAAAAGACTCCTTTGTGGTTCCACGGTCAGAGGCTGCCATTATTTATGCGTTAGCCACTCAGAGTGAAGGCTCATTTGCCTTCTGCCGTAGATCTCAAGGGGTAATCACTGACACCTCCACATCAGCTGGTATATGTTGGTTTCTCTAGTGGTCAACATTTATGCCCAAGTTTTTTGTGCATTTTGGCCCCAATTTTTTTCATTAAAAACTAATGTATTTTTAGTGGGTAAGATTTTGAAAGTTAAAGAAGCAGGGAAAATTATCTATAATTGCATCATTGAAATAAATGGCTGTTAATCTTTTGAACGTCTTTCTTTTTAATCATGTCAGTATACAATTGTGTATCAGTTTTTTCCAATTATCATTATGAGTATTTTCTTGTATCACCGAAAACTCTTAAATATATTTTTAATGGCCCAAGCCCAATTTTTTTTGGTGAGGAAGATTAGCCCTGAGCTAACATCTGTGCCCATCTTCCTCCACTTTTTATATGTGGGATGCCTGCCACAACATGGCTCAACAAGTGGTGCATAGGTCTGCACCTGGGATCCAAACCCGTGAACCCCGGGCCACCGAAGCAGAGCGTGTGAACCTAACCACTATGCCAGCCCCATCAAGCCCAATTTTTTAAAAGTAGCATTCACTTATCCCTATATCATTTCAAGTTGAAGGACCTTTTATATGGTCAAAATAAGTTTATTACAGGAGCCATGAGAAAGATTCCTTCCCATGGTTAGAGCCTAGATCTGGTCCTCACCAATAATTGCAACCCCTCCATGATCTTAACTTCAAACATACCCTCTGACCACCCCACTCCAACACTATCGACCTCACTGGCATGAACACTCCATTGATCTACTTTTTTACTGTTACTTACCTGCCTTATGCCCTCATTTCCTTTCTTATCCATGTAAAATTCCATGGTCAATTATTTCCATCATTTTCTCGCATACATCCTTATCTCCCTCGTCCCTCTTTTGCCAGCTGAACCTCAACCTTGGTTAAACTCAACTCTCCACCTACTTTGGACCTCCACTCATGCAGCCCAATGTTCAAGACCTATTTTTAATGCTATCTCTACAGATGTCTTTTAAGCATTTATTCTCCTTCCTCTTTACCTATGGGTGCCCTATTTGGTGACCATGCAGCTGCTATTTAGGTGTTTTGCTCTTGCCCATTCATCCTTCGCCAACCCAGCTCATTGGTCTATCCTGTACTCTCTCCTGGATGCCTTTACCAGATCCTTTTCTCTTCCCAGCTCTCTGACCTCTCTCTTGTCTTCTGTTTGTTGTCTCTTTTATGCCCACTCACCTCTTTCCCCAACCCCTAAAAGAAACACAGAAGGAATAGCCTGATAAAAATGAACTAGCAGTGAGTATAGCAATTGAAGTCTCAGGTTCCTGTCCTGCTGTGTGAGCTTGGGCCAGTCACACACCAGTCACACACACTTCACCTCTCTGGTTCTCAGTTTCCTCCCTATACAATGAGGGACACTTGGTTAAATAAACATGGAGATCATTTAGCTCAGCTCTTAAAACAAACAAACATGATTCTAAAAACTTACAAAAGGGAAAATTTAGCAAATGGTCCCACTATCCTACTTTCTTCACCGTACCATCCTACCTCCACCACCGCACTAAGAGAATGTTGACTATCTGGTGAGTATTATTTTTGTTATTTTAGTACTGAAACTCTCCTTGGCCCACCCAAGCGTCCCACCCAGTAACCATCATGGAAATCCAAACACTCACCGTGAATTTCTCATAGAGCTCATAAGTCAGGAGGGGATTGGGCAGCTCTCTAAAGTAGAGCTTGCAGAGTGAGCCCACACAGTGGATGTCCTGGAGGTACACTTCTCTTGTCAGATCTGGACATTGATCTGAGCCAAACTCTTGCCTGAAACAACACAGACAGAGACATAACAATCCCAGGAACGTGTGTTCACGTCAGCAGCTGCTTGGCTGCTAAGGGGTAAAAAGACCCTAAACTGCTGCTCTGACTATATTTTTGACCTTGAGTCAAAAAGACCTTCTACCCTAGACACAAGGAAGCCACGGAGACTTCCACTTCAGGTCTGGATCTTCCCTGCAATAGCAGCTGTGATTAGAAAGACATAATGCTGATTTACAAGTGGATTTCTCATGGCATTACGTCCACAGTCTCACTTATGTACAATGGGGAAGTATGAAGACAATTTGCCAAAAAGCCTGTTGTGATTTCAGTTTTTCCAAAATATTGTTTTACATGAAATTCTCTTTCTTGGAAAGACGAAAACCAGGGTGAGTCAGACTGTTATCACTCATCTCCATATATTCATGTCAACAGACTTGTTTTGTCTGGAGACTCAAACCCAAGGTTTGAGAACTTGAATCAACTATCTCTTTGATGCTGAATGGAAACTTCTAGGCTGCCTGATAATGACTCCTACAGGATAGATGAGCCCTATAATACCTTCTTAAACAATCTATAGTGGAGCGTCTGGGAACATCATCAGATTCCAGGCCTCGTTTCTAATTAAAAAACATTTCCTAACACGGTTACATGAATATCCTGCCTCAAATAATATATACTTCCAAGTTAAAAATGTGTTTTAAAAAATGACAAATTTCAGGGCCGGCCCCGTGGCTTAGCGGTTGAGTGCATGCTCTCCACTGCTTGCGGCCCGGGTTCGGATCCCGGGCGCGGATCCCCGGCGCGCACCAACGCACCGCTTCTCTGGCAGTGCTGAGGCCGTGTCCCACATGCAGCAACTAGAGGGATGTGCAGCTATGACATACAACTATCTACTGGGGCTTTGGGGGAATAAATAAGTAAATGAATAAAATTAAAAAAAAAAAAGACAAATTTCAGCTTTAATATAGAAGAGAAGTTAGGATTCTTGAGAATATTCACTTGATCAACCAAGTAGTGACAAAGTCAACGGGACTCCCAGTATTTCAGAACAGCTCGCTCCCCTTCTGCTGCAGTCTGGTTCTGCCCCTTTAATAAAGGGCAGGGAAATCCCTGAGGCTGACAGAACCTGAAAGGAACTGAGTGGGGCCTTGAAAAGAAAACTATGCAATGGCCTCATAAAGTCATAGGCATGTGTTTTTTTAAAAGGGCAGAACAAGAACAATCTAGAGCTTATTCATTTATTCAGTCCCAAATTTCCTTTGTCAAGGCAAAGGTCAGTCCATAAATGAAAAAGAATTGGCCGTCACTCAAGTGTCCTTCCACGATTCCAACTACTGTGTAATATGTTTCAGAGCTAAGAGTAAACTACTAAAAAGTATTTGCTGTTGAAACTCTAAAAAGTAGTAAAATTAATGAAATTATGTAAGCACACAGATCCACTAAAATCTACGGCTGCAATGAGCCAATTATTTTTTAACAGCCATCATTTCTCCAGGAATAAAAAGGATTCTTATTCCTTTGGTGTAATTTCATTACAATTGAGATTGAGCAGCAGGGGCAGAAAACCAAATAGATAGGAGGGAGAAGACAAAAAAGGAATTACCTGCACAATCTATTAAATTTTACATATTAATCTTATAACAAGACTGTTTTTATTGTTTTAAAAGTCTACTTATTTATAACTGAAGAACATATAATAAATATATAAAAATAACACAATAAAATATGTTCTTTTTGGTTTCAAAGAACAATATGCAAAATACATAAAACTATTGTTTTAGTTGTAGAACAGTATATATATATATCTATATAACATATATACACTGTATTCATACTCATATCTGTGTTTTGTGTGAAGGTTATTATCCTCTTAATTCAGTGTGACAGAAATTTCTTCCAAATGTTTAGGATAAATCCACAAAATTGGAAATAGTTCACCTATCAATAATTTTAAAAATACCAGCATCAGAGAAATGCTCAATAGTGCTGACTTCTGATTTCTCCACCAGATGAAATATCAAATGTTGAGTATGTGCCAAGAAGAAAACTCACACCCCTCTCCATGTTCTGAACACTACTAACAGGGATCTGACTGAGCTTTGAGTAGGCAAGTGAGTTATAATAAATCATGTTTTCCTAACTTGTAATTTAAATAATTTGAGTTAAATCAAACCCACCTAAGAAGGATAAATCTGGTGCAAGATCCTCAGGAGCTTTTGTTGGAAAGAACTACATCAGACTAGAGAACTTCCTGATTAGAGTAAGGAGAGTTAGGCATCTGAAAACGTCAATGCTTCATCTTCAGTCCCGCCACCCTTCCCTCAGTCCCTTCAGGTTTTTAATACTCCCAGCACCTGCGGACAGAGGTATGGACAGAGGAAGGATCATGGGAGAATTCTTTTGGGAGCGACTCTTTTCTTACCTTAGCCGTTGTATGTTTGAGGTGACTCCGGAGAGCCGATAAATTCCATCCACGATGCCGTGAGTCTCTATAAATTCTGCACAGCTCTTCAATACATATGGAACTATGTAAAGGAAAAGAAAAAACAATAAAGTATTAGATATAAATCCGACTGTCCTTTAAAGACATCCTTTCAAAAATCCAGGTAACTTCAAAGAGAAATAAGTATGGAACACATATGAGTTACAAGTGGAAACAATTACTTGTAAATGGTAGATGACATTCTTTTGTACTAAAAAAAAAAAAATAGAGTTTTGTTAAAGTTTAGGAAACTCATGTGTTGTAAGAGGTTTTTTTTTTTTAAGAATTTGAAAAATATGCAGAAACTTAGATTTTGAAACCACCAGTGACCTTGGAAATCCCACAACTCAACCTCCTCGTTTCTTGGTTCTCCAACTGTGGTTTCTTGACTAGCAGCATCAGCATCTCCTGAGCACTTGTTGGGAATGCAAATGCCCAAATTCAGACCTACTGAATCAGACATTCTGCAGGTGGGGCCCAGCAATCCGTGTTTTAAAAAGCCTGCTAGGTGACTGTTACATGCTAAAATTAGAGAACCATTGCCTGTTCTACACATGAAGTCACCAAGGTGCAGGTAAATTTACTTACCTTGTTCAAGATTACTTGTTACTTATGAAAAGTAATTAATATATGGGAAAATTCTTATGATATAGGTAGGTAGAAGAAAAACAAGACACAAAATGAATTTATATTGTGAATTCAGCTATATATATATAAAAAAAAAGCAAAGGAAAAAAGACTGGAAGAAAATCTGCCAGAACGCTAAAGGTGATTTAAAGGGTAAGGTGTTAAAGTGTTTTTTCAAAGGTGAGAACTACCCTCCCGCCACCACCACCAAATGGGTCAAACCAGTCATTGATTTAATGGACCACATAAAAGGGACCAACGTGGCCTCTTGGATTCCTGCCACTCTGGAAGTTCAGCGCCTCTGGGGAAGAGTCCGGCTATGCTGCTCTTTCCTCAGGGTTGACCCTGCCAGGTCAGTAACCCAGAATGGCAGCCACAGGCCTTCTGGATGGCACATTACATGCCACTTTGGTCCTTGGGCAGATCTACCTGAGGTCCCTCCGTGAGAGTGCTGCTGTGAATGGTGGTTTGGTATGGAACCCAAGCCTCGGGCACTGAAGTCTTCAGGCATAGAGGTGGTGTGCGAACTCCATGAACTAGTGCTTGGGTTACCACTGTGCTCACTCCCCCAAAACATACCTAATCCATTAATGCTTTAGATTAGACTATTGCCAACCCATCAATGCTTTATGCACATGATCATGCCTACGCACAATTCCAAGCTGGACCAGACTTTTACATGGGTAGATACCAGGTGTTCAGATTCAACGTTCTACCTGGATTCTCTATTACAATACTTTCTAAACAAATTCCCTCACCCCCATTTCTTTCAACTACTAACTGTAATTTTAGGTGCTCAATAAAATTCATCATACTTAAAAGTATTCCCCCCATCTCTCAAAGGCTATGCATCCCCAGAGCCATTCTCTTCCAGGACACATCCACGTTTTGCCCCTGTCCTTCATAACTGGACTGGGAAGCTTCTTGGTTACCTCAAGTGAGAAGGGGGCAAGGAGTGGACTTAAGATTGCAAATATTGAGGCCAGGGAATACAGAGGTGAAATCACTCCCTTTTTGAGTGAATATAGGGCGGGAGCAGGGTGTGGTGGAGGAGGGGCTGTGAGAGTGGGCAGGGGCCCAGAGCCTCTGCCTGGCTTCAGCCAGAAGAGCTATACTTTGATCTGTTTTATGAAATCATGTTCTTGGTGAGATTTTTGTCTACCATCCTCATGCCTCTAAATAAATAAATTAGCAAGCAAACAAAGTGTTCTAATGCTTAAAAAAAGTTTCGTTTTGCTTTTTAAAAAATCCCCGCTGTGCACAATAATGGTCGACTCTTTCCCCACCACACCAAGCTGTTGTTCTGTAACCTGCCACATGTGGTCTACGGTTGAGAACAAAGGTTTAGATGCCAAACTGCCTTTGTAACCTTGGGCAAAATAAGTAATAATTGTGTTTATCAGTTTCCACATCTGTAAAATGAGGATAACAGTGATATTAACCTCACAGCTAGGATTGAAGTAATACCTGTAAGCATTTAGCACAGACCCTGGCATATAATAAGCATTCTACAATGACAGTTATTATTTCTATTTGAAGCTTATCTATGACATAAATTTATAATTTGTGAGACACAATCTTGGTGAAAACAGTTTCCCTCCTCCCATCCAATGGGCAGTTGGAGTAGAGTTGACCAACCTCTTACCAGTCAACACTCATGTCTGCTATTTGGAATGGCTTTTGTGTCCTTCTTCAGTTAACTGTTGCTATTTGAAGGTAATTTTGCTTGCCTGAGGTCTCTTTTCTATGCATTTAGGTGTATCTTCATAACACAAAGGCAGCAGGATCCTAGAGTGTATGGATTTCGAGTTAGCAGCCCTAGAGCTGTGCTTGGCATTGGTGTGTTCCGCAATGTGTGTCTATACCAAGGTATATGGCTGTTGTGCTGTGCAGGGCACAAGTGCACTTAAGAGCTCTGAGCATAACAAAATGAAGGACAAAAATCACGTGATCATCTCAATAGATGCAGAAAAAGCATCTGACAAAATTCAACATCCATTTATAAAAACTCTCAACACAGTGGGCATAAGGGAACGTACCTCAACATAATAAAGGCCATATATGACAAGCCCACAGCTAACATCATACTCAATGGTGAAAAGCTGAAAGCTTTTCCTCTAAGATAAGAAAGAAGACAAGGATGCCCACTCTTACCACTTTAATTCAACATAGTATTTGAAGTCCTAGCCAGAGCAATTAGGCAAGAAAAAGAAATAAAAGGCATCCAAATTGGAAAAGAGGAAGTAAAACTGTCATTATTTTCAGATGATAAGATTTTATTTATAGAAAACCCTAAAGACTCCACCAAAAAACTGTTGGAAGTAATAAATGAATTCAGTAAAGTTGCAGGGTACAAAATCAATATACAAAAATTGCATTTCTGTACACTAACAATAAACTATCAGAAAGAGAAATTAAGAAAACAATTCAATTTACAGTTGCATCAAAAAGAATAAAATACCTAGGAATAAATTTAACCAAGGAGGTGAAAAACCTGTAAGTTGAAAACTTTAAGACATTGATAAATGAAATTGAAGAAGACACAAATAAATGGAAAGATTTCATGCTCATGGATTGAAGGAATTAATATTGTTAAAATGTCCATATTACCCAAAGCAATGTACAGATTCAATGCAATCCCTATCAAAATTCCAATAGCATTTTTCACAGAAGTAGAACAAAGAATACTAAAATTAGTATGGAACCTCAAATGACCCCAAATAGTGAAAGCAATCTAGAGAAAGAAGAACAAAGCTGGAGTCATCATGTTCCCTGATTTCAAACTACAGTCATGGGTCACTTAACGACAGGGATACATTCTGGGAAATGTGTCGTTAGGTTACTTTGTTGTTGTGCAAACATCATAGAGTATACTTACACAAACCTAGATGGTATTACTACACACCTAGGCTATATGGTACTAATCTTATGGGACCACTGATGTATATGTGGTCTGTCATTGACTGAAACCTCTTTATACGGTGCATGACTATATATTACAAAGCTATAGTAATCAAAAAGTATAGTTTTGGCATAAAAACAGACACATAGATCAATGGAACAGAATAGAGAGCCCAGAAAAGCCCACACATACATGGTCAATTAATTTACAACAAAGGAGGCAAGGATATACAATGAGGAAAAAACAGTCTTTTCAATAAATAATGTTGGGAAAACTGGACAGTCACATGCAAAACGATGAAACTAGACCACTATCTTACACTATACACAAAAATTACCTCAAAATGGATTAGAGACTTGAATGTAAGATCTGAAACCATAAAATTCCTGGAAAAAAACATAGGCTGTAAGGTCCTTGAATTTGGTCTTGGTGATGATTTTTGGATCTGGCTCCAAAAGCAAAGGCAACAAAAGCAAAAATAAACGAGAGACTACATCAAACTAAAAAGCTTCTGCACAGCAAAGGAAACCATCAACAAAATGAAAAGGCAACCTATGAAATGAGAGAAAATATTTGCAAATCATATATCTGATAAAGGGTTAATATCCAAAATATATAAAGAACTCATTCAAGTCAATAACAACAACAACAAAAAATCTGATTAAAAAATGGGCAGAGGATCTGAATAGACATTTTTCCAAAGAAAATACACAGATGGCCAACAGGCACATGAAAAGATGCTCAACATCACTAATCATCAGGGAAATGCAAATCAAAACCACAATGAGATATCACTTCGCACCTGTTAGAATGGTTATTATCAAAAAGGCAAGAAATAACAAGTGTTGGCAAGGATGTAGAGAAAAGGGAATCCTCATACACTGTTGGTGGGAATGTAAATCGGTGCAGCCACTGTGGAAAACAGTATGGAATTTCCTCCAAAAATTAAAAATAGAACTACCATATAATCCAGCAATTCCATTTCTGGGTATTTATCCAAAGAAAACAAGAATACTAATTTAAAAAGATATATGCACCTTTATGTTCATTGCAGCATTATTTACAATAGCCAAGATATGGAAACAACCTAAGTGTCCATCAACAGATGAATGGATAAAGATGTGGTGTATATATACAATGAAATACTACTCAGCCATAAAAAAGAATGAAATCTTGCCATTCGCAATGACATGGATGGACTTTGAGGGTATTATGCTAAGTGAAATAAGTCAGACCAAGAAAGAAAAATACTGTATGATTTCACTTATATGTGGAATCTAAAAAAAAAAAAAAAGAAGAAATAAAGCTCATAGAAACAGAGAACAGATTGGTGGTTGCCAGAGGGGTGAGGAATTGGGGGTGGGTGAAATGCGTAAAGGGAGTCAAGATTTTGTTCTATTTTCCAGTTATAAAATAAATAAGTCATGGGGATGTAATGTATAGCATGGTGACTATAGTTGATAATATTGTATTGCATATTTGAAAGTAGCTAAGAGAGTAAATTTTAAAAGTTC